AATGCACAAAAGGGTTAATTCACAATGACTTCTATTGATCAGACGTGTCTTCCTCTGACTGGGGGTTTCCTGGTGCAGACCATGATCTCAGACTCTTTCCTAGCCCTCTTCTGACCCTGACACATTTAGGCTCTGATTCCAGCCAAATATAATTAAAGATTCTTCAAAAGAAGTCTAAACAGTACTTGCATTGATCAGTTTGGATTAAGTTCCGACCAACACATCTCTTTAGAGAAGTCACAGCTTTCCACTTAATTCCTATTTAATAAAGCTCCAACAAGTGAACACATCTGCACTGCTCATGTTGCTTACTTCTAGTGGTCAATGTGAGTTCCAAGGAGAGAGGCATGGTGGGTTTGTTCTCTCAGCTCTAAAAGATTTGAGATTTTGCTGAACTCTGTTATTGGGAACAATATGATACACAACCTGACAACTACTCCCCATCAGCTTTGTCAGCCAAGATTTGATATTTACCCCCATTAGCCACTCTATCTAGTATGCTAAGGTCTTTTGTAGGGGGTGAATCATAAGGACAAGAGTGCTTCACATTTCACAAATCTGCTTAAGATACCACTCAGATGCACTTCCTTTCAAAAATACAGACAGGAAGGCATGCAACGTCACTGGCTTCACATGGCCAATATTTCTACATGAAGTGCAAGAATGCAATTCTACATTTTTGCAAGCTTTGGTAATTTTTTGAGCAAAGAATCCAAAATTCCAATTTGAAATTCGCTGTTTCAAGTTATAAAACTGTTTTACTGTTTTAGCTTACCCTTCTTGTCTCTGTGTTCAATATTGGCACCGCGTGCTATCAGTACAGACACAAGTTCTTCATGACCTCCCGCACACGCAAGGGTCAGAGCAGTGTCATGATTACTTTCAGTCTTCACGGTTGGGAAGAGAAAGAAGCAGATATTCAGAAATTAAAAACACTTTAAGAGAACTTCAACATTTTTAAGACAGCACTAGATTAATTTTTTTCCTTTCAGAACTTGTCAGAAAGCAAATCCACTCAAAACCAACTGCAATTACTCACGTGTGCATCGATGTCAACTGAAGGATACATAGGGAGCACTGACTGCGAGGGCACATTGCTCGATGCCTGTGAACAAGGCTCAGGCGTAGGGGATTCCGTAGTGTGCGAGGAGCTGGTGGGGCCACTGGGCACTCTGCTATTCACAGCTGAAAAGTAACACCGTGTTATTAATCCACTCTTAGGAATGCCACATTTTATATGAAAAATATTTAGTCTCGTAAAACTGCAACGGTCTAACATCAAAACAGTAATGGGGGGAAACAAATTAAGTGTTCCTAAAAGCAAACGAGTTGGCATCTTGAGCAAAGAAGCTTTCCAGCAGTTAAACAGTGTAAGTATCATCCCCAAACTGTGTTAAGTTAGAAAATAATTTCATTAATTAGTCTGTATACATTACGAGTATGAATTATGAAGATTATTAGTTATCCTTTTCAAATTGTAACCTTCACTGTTAGAGTTCAATCATGTGCTCAGTCTAAGCAGGCAAATGATTTATCACTAAAACACAAACCTCATGTTCAGAAATACAGTCTCATTCTGGAATTCAAAAGTTTTTCATGTAAAGGTTAGTGCACACCTAGTCTCCAGAGAAGGTTTTCAAAGCAAGATGACTGACAGCAACTTACACCATTAATAGTGTCCCAGTTAAAACAACCCAGGAAGGGTGGAAGAGAAGCAGACAGGAGGGGGCAGTCAACAAAAATAAGAAAGCTGAACACTGTCTGTGCTCCTTAAAATTTATGCTGATTGATACACAGCCTGTAAAATATTTAATCCTGAAGATCTAGCACAGCTCAGGGACACAAGTAATACAACTTTATCTTCTTTTTTAAAAAAAATAACGATTTTTAAAAAGTGATAATTGAGAATCAGATTTTATTCATATAGTTTTAAATGAAGCTTTACCAGAACAAGCAGAGAAATATCCCTGCGCATATATATCGCGGGGCCAAGACCTCTGCCTGCCTTTGTAACCAAATGAGAGTCCAAGGGGAGCCCAAACAAATCTAAGGCTCAGCTGGGATTACTTGGCAGGAAGGTCTAACAAACCTCTGCACTAGCTACGAGTGCACTTTAACTGTAGTAAGCCACGCTAACATATAGCAGCTGGATTTGACAAGTATTGTCACTGCTGGATTGCCAAATTTCTATACTGTGCAGCCTTATTAGATGGAATACCGGGTTAGCTTTATTTATTTTCCAAACACACAGCACTTTGTAGTATTCCTGAAACAAGCAACTGACAGAAAACACTAACAACTGCAGGTAAGAAATACACAGCAGCATTTTGCTTTTCTCCAAGTGTTTCACTCAATAAGGGAAGATGAAGGATGAACCCAAACCTGTGTACGACTTAAAAGAGAAATTTTTGCAAACCCTTCCCAGCTCAACCTTCCCGATTCCATTGACAAATTACGCACCAGCTATTACTCACAGGAAAACGGTGCAGACTGAAAAGTCTTGGAAAAATCCTCAACATGCCCACTAACACCACTAATTCAGCCTATAGGACTGCATATGCGCAACAAAGGAAACAGGCTGGAACAAGTTTAGATGGGTCACTTCAGTTGGGTTCTAGAAACATCGGGGGGGTTGTCACTGAAATTTTGGGAGGTGACAGTTTTCAATTGTGTTTTTTAAGTAAAGCATTCTCCTTGGTGGTAGCATTAACGTTTGGTTACCACACTTAAGCAACAGAGTATTGCATCTGAATTCAGAGTTGACTTTTGCTTCACGTTACAACCTTCAACAAGCAAACCAGGTTTGTATTAAACGTTTCAAATATAAAAGCTCCTGCACCTCATCTGCTTACTATGGATTACCACTTATAGCAGCAGATGAGCATTAATTAATGCAATACAATTGTTTTCTTGCTCAATGCACTGAAGTGCAAGATACTAATTGGATTTCTAAAGATTATTCCTTCCAGAATACTAGACACCAAATCACCTTTTAAGGATTTATATTAAGTCAAACTGGTCCTTCCTCATGAAAGACACTGGCTCAATGCTTTCAGATCTTGCAGCTATATATATATCTAAACACACGTGCATGTGCTGTGCGTACAAAGCAGGGGTGTGCAGAGGGACTCCACTTGAGCCAGTTTAAGGGTCCTTACTGTAATATATTCAGTGTTACTGTTACAGGTTCCACAAGTTCTTTACATCTCACAACCATGACTGAAAATGTCCAAGTATTTCTTGCATACTTTAGATTTTCATCATGTGCTTGAAACATATGAGTGTGCACTGAGCACTTCACGTGCACAGTAACAACGATGTCAAATATGAGAGAGAACACCAAAGGCAGTAGAAATGCAGATAAACCCTGTACTGATACCCCAAACTCGTTTAAAATAAAATCTAACAACAAACAGTCCTACAACACTCACTGATTAATCATCCCCTCTGTAACTACTGAGTTTACAAAACTGCAGGATTTTTTAAAGTGTAATTTTGTTTCCTTAGTGTGGCTGGCAAGCTGGCCCAATGGAGCATCAACGTAATTCGTGCTCTTGGAGCAAAACACGTCTGAGAACGTCTACCTCCAGTTTCATGGGGCCGATTTAGCTCAGCCTAAGTTACACAACAACATACAGATTTTTCAACTCAAAGATGACCTTGCAAGAATGGTTCCATCATCCCTTCACAAACATTTGTATGAAATTGGGGTTAACTCATATTTCCCCAAGTCCGTTTCTAGATTACCAGCCTCGATCACGGGAGGTGGGACAGCTACTGCTCCTGGGAACCCCATCCAGGGAGACGCAGTCATCCTACCGATGGGACACAATGGAGAGCCACCTCTCTGCTTCTGCCTCCCGTTACTAGGAGGAGCCTGGGGCCGTGCCCTCGGGGATGGCTTCATTGGTCTGACACTGGCCCCAGGGAAGTCGAGGACATCTTGCCGATCACTAGTGTTTAGCAGGTCATACTCACAGTGCCGGAAGCTAATGTGCAGTCCCCCCCCCCGAGGAGCCACACCACCATACCCACTCCAGACTTTCATCTCAATAATTGGCATTAACTCAGGAACGACTGCAGCACCGCAGCTCGGCAGTGGAGAGCAGCACTGGCACTGCCCATGACTCCAAGGGGAAAGGCTAGCTGGAGGACATAAAACCAACCATGGGGGGATGATCACCCTCAGCATCTCTACGGCGTGCCGCAGGATTTTAACAGACTAGAAAAATGTGCGGCTTTCACCCTCTGAGAAGACAAGGGAGAAACTTTCAAACATGCAGATTGCTTCCTACTGAACAGGCATTTTGTCTTTTCACCAGGAAGGGTACTGATAAACACACCGATAGCCAGGCATTGATTAAAACAAATAAAAATCAGTTTTCACAATGTGTACCTCAGATCTTTATAAAGATCTCCTATTTTGTGACATAGGTTTTGGATGTTTCCATAAACTTCAATACTCAAAAGACTTGTATTAAAAAAAAAAAAAATTCTACATATTTTAAGAAGGTCTTGCAACTTTCCAAAGGGACTTTCTTTGAATCAGTGTGAAGTTGAAGGCAGGTCTCCAAAGACATGGATGACTATTTTCCAAAGTTATGAAAAAATATCACAGGAAACACGAGTAAAACAAAAGGAAGCAAGAACTTGGTATTTTATCTAAGCATGACTCTGGAGGCATTGGCAGAACCTCGAGCAAGCAGCTCTGGATGAGATTGCAGCTGTAGTCTGAAACTGCATCTACCCAACTGTTGTCATGCCGTGAGCATGGACATTCATGAATACTGGACTTGGATTTCAGTTCCCCTTTCCTCAAAGGAACCGGGATTTTCAGGACAAAGAAAACAACACTTTTTCATGACTGAGCAGTCTTTCAGCCTGTCCACACAGCTGCTCAGTAACACGTTACTGCACAGAGGCTTTTGCACATTGGTAACTGCGTCTTGTTTTATGAGTCCCCATTTCTCACTCCAGATTGTCCTAGTAACCAAGTTTTACTCCAAACAGCAATCCTAAATACATAAACTTAGATGTCACTTTCCAAATCATTACCTTAAAATATCACAATTTGGTATAACTGACCACAACTAGAATTTCAGAACCAAGTAACAGTTAATAAAGTTTCTCAAAACACGCCTGGAATTTCAGTATACAAATGGGAGCTCGCAGGAGGAAAGTCAGACAGAAGCACACAGAGATGTCACCTCCTGACTAAAAATACCAGCTGAGTAGAACAAACAGGAGTAAAAATATTCCAACTAGAGACAAAACCTAGCAACAAAGAAAAGCAAGTTCCTCATCTTGAATACCCTAAAACAGCAAAAAAGCCTCAATTCAGATACTGCCAACCAAGAAATCTACTACGGTAAATGCATAATGTGAATGGAAGTGAAACTCCAACTATGCAAGACAACATGCTTCAAGAAACCAAATGTGTACTGAGTAATGAAAATTAGATCCAAAATGTCCTCTTCTATTGGAAGATGTGATCCAAAATGATTTGTTGCCTTCCCACTCTAAACTGCACAACATCTATATCTCTTTTGTAAATCCAATTAAAATTTTGACTGTAGTAAGTCACACCTTCAATGATAGGATTAGTTGCAAGATTTTTGCTTCAGCACATCTAAATAAAACTCCATTACAACCAAAATGTTCTGGAGTGGAGAGAGCTGCTTCATTTTTAGGTTTTACCTGACTTTCCAAAGGTTACTCGGTTACTTCTGCATAGCTTTATGAAAGAGGGGACTCAGGTACACGTCTACCAGTGGCTGACTGCCAGCAAGACTTCCAGAACTTTGCACCTTGACATCAACCATCTCAACACCTATCAGCTGACAAATTATGCCAGCAGACTGGCAAGATAAATACTCCATTTACGTATGTTGTCACAATCAAGTTAGTCAGCAAAATAGATTTGAGGCTTTGTAGAAATGCAAGTTCTCCCTCACAACTAGTCTCAACTGAGGCTTTGAAAAATTTGCCTCTTACATCACCACTGGTAAGAGCAACGGTAAAAGGTATTTCAGTGCAGAGGGCAAAAAGCCAATTTAACATTTCTGTTCTTCTCACATAGACCCAATACAAACTGGAATACTTCACAGGAATAAAAATGTTCATACCTCTTCTAAACCAAGAGTCACTCACCACCATTACTGCAGCTCCACTCGTGGCACCGTGATCAAGGCAGACGCTTCATCGGCACACCCAAGTGCAAGACACAACTTCTCTAAGAGACAGACTTCCCGCGCACCAGGCACAAGCCCCTTAACAATTTTATCTGGCATCTGTAGCACGCATGTAAAAATCAGTTTTCATAACAGTTTCTGTTGCTCAAAATTCTTTACAAAATTAAGGACTAATAGGCAAGTTTGTGGAAAAAGGTCAGGCGCGTTTTAAATATGGATCAAAGGGTTTGGAGTATGAGTAGGTAGATTTACAGTTTGTTTTTAAATGTACACAAATGTGAGATATAGTAAGAATATAATTTACACAGAGGTCACTCTTTTACACAGTCTGGATGTAAAAAGTGAGCAAAATATCTAATTCCCTTCCAAAAATTTTTTAGGGGGAGGGAAGTAAAACGGACTTATGAATTTCAGAAGAAAGTATATTTCAATAAAGCAACATCAGCGCATTTTTGCAGGAGCCTCTGGAATTGGACAGCTAAAGTTTCCTTGAGTTGCATTTCTGTAAATATAGTTTCCAATAGTTGTAGAAGAGTGTGCTATTTGTATTGGTTTTTGAAATGAGTAAATTTCATTTCTTAGCAAAAAATGTCTTTAATTACTCAGCAAAAACAGTAAACAGTTTCAGAAAAATCAACCAATGTCTAATCAAGGTTTTTTTAAGATAAAGTTTTTCTGGTTGTTTGCAATCTTTTTTCAAATGGCACAGTTCTCGCATTAGCTGACTGCAGCAGTTTTGCATTTTGGGTGCACTGAATACTTTGGATCTAATACGCAGCTGCTAACCATGAAAGGGTATATACTACATGGTTTTGTGCTAGATATGTTAAACTGTCAGCAACAGAAACTGCTCCAAAGATTAAGCCCTTGTTGATTATGTTTTGCATTAACCATTCAAATTTGCCTCCTCATACACTCCAGTACTAAATCTTGAGTAATAAAAATCAAGAATAATGCAATTGCATTTTTGTTTTAAGGTTGGCTGAATACTCTGAAGAGCATCGTAGAGTGGGGGAGGGAGGCACGCCATGCCAGAAAAGGGGGAACTAAGACCGATTCTCTGTAATACAAGAGGATTTCTTTGAATTACACCGTATAGCTGAAGGGAGCTGGTACAACACATCACACCATTCCACCAACTATGGTTTCCACGGGAGGTTGCAAAGTTGCAGGCAGTCTCGACTTGCATGAGCTTGATGCAATTACCATTCTAAAAGTTCACAGGAATGGCTGGCAAAAGGTCTTACTGCACATTTCTACAACCTTGAAATGAACTTAGACGGGGCAGTAACTACAAAGAGGGGGTGGGGGGGTGGGGGAGGGAAGACAAGAAAATAGGGGCTGAGGGACAGACACAGGGTGCAAAGAAACATTGAAAAACACCGAATTAAAAAAGACTACAGACTGAACAACACCGGCTATATCCTACATACCTCCAGCAGCAAACATCAATCCTAGTCAAATCCATGGAATGAAATCAACCAAAACAATACCTCTTTTTCCACAAGGGGCCTCACACAACCCAATGTGTGGGAACTTCCATTCCTCTTCACACCGTTATCAACAAATGGAAGGATGTTTGGATTTTTGCTTTTCATCCAGGTAACAGGACACATTTTTGCCATATGTTATATCTAACAAGCAGATATTTCTGTACAACAACCAGGGTTTAGAGGGTATTCTGAAAACACAAGCCGTTACAGAACTGAGCAGTTGTGCACGGATTCCAGGCTGTGTTTAAACCGTAGCAACACCTCGAGCAGCAAGGAGAGGGACACATTTGTCCATATAAGTGACAATAATTTGGCTGTTTCTAGAGATGGCTACACACTGAAGAAAGTCACTGAGGTATAAGCCTGTATAGAGGTTTCCTAATGTGCACTACTAATCACTCATGATAAGGCTTTTTAAAGAAGCACAGAAAAAGATGAGGCCAAAGGGGCTAAAACAGGTCTCCAGTACAGGAAGTTTTGCACTTTGGAAAAAAGGTATTTAAAAGTCTCATGTTAGAATTGGAAGTCACTGTTAGGATTAATAGCGCTAATCACGAACTTTATTCTTAAGCAAGTATTCCCAAACTGGAAAACCCCAAGATGTTTTTGGAGGGAAGGAGAGAGAGGGAAACTGAGCACACAAATTAATGCAAAAATAGGTATATTTCTTAACCCACCTGCTATTAGGTCATCAAGAGTGTCGGTAAGCGTCTGTGCTGGAGTGGCAACCATTAATCCGTCTGGTTCTTGAACTAAGAGCCCCTGCCCAGCAATTTGCTGCTGCTGTCCTACATTCTGCTGATTCCCTAATGCTTTCTGAAGTTCAAGAGACTCTGTCCCATTATAACCTAAATTACCAGAAAAATTACATTGTGGT